AGATATACTGGGATGTGACCCACGTGTGCGCACTTGACCCATGTCTCCTCTAAAGAGTGGTGTGGAAAAGCTGCTGCCCACCGGACTGAGTTTGCCTCACCCAGTGCCTGGGCCTATGCTCATGCCCTGTCACAGGCCCTCCGTGCCAAGGAACTGTTTGTTGCCATGATGGTGAAAGCACTGTATTATTGTTTTCTTTTGCCTATTAACACTGTAAGTTTCTTTTCAGAAAGAGCATTTTTTTTAGTATAAAGTATATATGTTCTCTGTAGAAAGTAAGACACCACTACAGAAAACCAAGCAAGAGGAATAAAAAGTAAAATCCAGAAATAGCGTGTATTAACTTTCCAGTTTTTAGCTTCTAATATTTTAAGCATACGCAAACTCAAGATACACACTTAAAAGAAAAATCTGCACGAAAATGGTTATGCAGTATTTCAGACATCCAGAGGATAATAATGAGAGAATAATATGACACCCATGTACTAGTTTTAACTGATGTTAAAACACACCTTTGTACATCCACTTAGCATCCCCCTCCTGTCCACCTGCTCATACTAACCACTGTCCTGTAGTTAGGATGCTTCCTGTCCACTCTTGGTCCAAACCATGTAGCCTGCTCTTTCCATGTCATTAAACTTTCCTCTGTGATACGTATTTTACGCGGCTACAAAATGTTCCTTTGCACAGATGCACTAAAATTCATTTATTCATCTTCTATTGTAAGTCTTTTGGTTTATCCCGTTTTTCTCTCTCATGTAAACATTTCTCACAAATATCTTCGTAACTTACATAACTTTGGGCACACAACACATGTTTCATAGATCATAATTTTTTAATAATTTATATTATTGCTGGGATCAAAGAGCATGCAAAATTGTAAGATTTTAAATGGTTTTATAATAACTAGCAGTGATTCTGATTTAGTTATCTGTCAACTCACGCTTGTTTGTTTACATGTAACAAATTTTTTGCAGTTATTTTAGTTTTCAAATAGACTTTTGGTTGTAAGTAAAGACGTTTATTGAAATGCAAAAATTTTACCATCGCACTTAAATGAGAAAACAGCCATTTAAAACGTGTGTGTTGATGGAGAGTAAGTTGTAAAGTAGGAGAAAAAATAAATCTGCAGCTAAAAATGGGTTGAACTTCATTTTGTTACACAGTGAACAAGATGATTCCTAGGGATCAATAATCAGCTGATACCAGTGATAATTTTTTGGTCTAATTTTCTATATTCTTTTCTTCTCTAGTAGCTTTTAGTGGTTTTCACAATCATAAAAGTAACACCTGTTAACTGTAAGAAGCTTCAAAAATAGAAAATGTTACCCTTATTTCAGAGATAACTTGCTAACATTTTATTTCACTTTTTATTAAACTTATAGTTTGTCCCTCTCTATTCCTGTGTATGACCACACCTCAGTTTATTCACTCATCTTACTATTGATAGATACTCGTGTTGTTTCCTGTTGTGTGGGCTGTTAGGAACAATGCTGCTGTCTGCATTCCTGTTCCTGTATTTGGGGCCTCACACACACATTTATATTAGGAGAGAAATCGCTTGATTATAGCAGAGTACACGTGTATCCTGCTTGAATAGATAATGCCAAGCTTTTCAAAGTGATTCTAACAGTTTTCGTCACTAGTTTTTGAAATTTCTAGTTACTCCATACCTTTCCTATTCTCAGTATTGTCGCTCTTTTAAATTCTGGACACTAATAAGTGTGAAATTATATCTCAGTGTGTAATTATATCTCAGTATGGTTTTAATATGCATTCACTATTGACTATGAGAGCAAGTGCCCTTTTACATACCTGTGAGATAACTTCCTTGGCCTGTTCTAGTTGCTTGCCCAGTTTTTCTCTTGGGTTATCCCTGTTCTAATTGATTGGTGAGAGTTCTTTACATATTCTGGATGTGAATCCTTTGTCAGCTATGTAAGTTGTACACATCTCCAATTTATGGCTTGCCTTTTGTTGGATTCAAGTCCCTGCATTGGGTGATTTCTTTACCCTTTTGTGCTGTCAAATGAGAAATAATTAGCTACGCTGGAGAGTTTTGAAAATCAGATGACTTAGTACATGTGAAAGATTAGTGGTGTATTGATACTTTTTGTCTACAGAAGGGTGAATTCTTTATTCTTTTAAAATCTTCTAACTCAGGCTATTCCTAGTGATAAATCTGGGGTTTTGAAAGTCTATCTGAATAGCTTGACTTGAGTTTCTAGAAAAACTGGTACAGAATGGTTCTCTTAGGGGACGATATTTATTGTTTATTGATGTTTCTTGTGGTTAGTATTGTTATTGATATTTATTTTTGAATATGTATCTAAAATACTTATATTTGTGTTCTAGGCAAAAAGGATAAGTTACGTGTCTACTATTTGTCCTGGTTAAGAAATAAAATCCTTCACAATGACCCAGAGGTCGAGAAGAAGCAAGGGTGGACAACCGTCGGGGATTTGGAAGGATGCGTGCACTATAAAGTTGGTGAGTTCCAGGAGGCTGGTGTTTTTCCACCATTTAATTAGCATTTTATTCTTTGCAGCTTTTAATAATAAACTTGTTTCTGAAGCATGTAGGCTTTTTATGCTATTGTGTTTCTAAGGCATCTTCTGATCCTGAGATCTCGTCTAGATTCGGGTGCCCCTTAAGCACAGTGCAGTTCATTCCCGATGCTCACGCGGCCCCCTGTCTCATCCGCACGGTTCGACTTGTGAGACTGTTTACCCTTTGACCTTGACAGTCCACATTCTTCTCTGTAAGATGTGCTCCGGGATGAACCTCTTTAAGGAAGCTTTGCCAAGGAAAGCCGTACAGTTTGGACTCCTCCTTTGTGTTCCAGGCTTACTCTCCATTTAGAAGACTATGGGTCCGTGGCAGTTGCTGATAGAATGTTTAAGTTTGCCCGAAGAGCTATGACTTGCCGTGTTGAACTCAGTGCTCTATGTAAAGCTGCGTTGCTCTTTACTAGTAAATAAATCTGGCTGGCCAGTCAGTCTTTGATGGCAAAGGTGTTGTTTGTTTGTTTGTTCATTTGTTGTTTGTTTTGGTACACATGCCGTGGTTCTCATGAACAAAGCCAAAACAAGTTTTTCTTGTGTATTAAAATAAAAAATAAAAAAAACGGTACTAATGTTGAAAATAAAGGGGGAAATAATGGAGCTTAGTCAAATTCAAGTTTTATGGGAGAGATGACACATTCCAATGCGTCATTTGAAATGTTGAGAAGATCAACAAATGGCCTATGTATACCTAAGACTTACTGGCATAAGGGGCCTACTGAGTGTGGATTTCTGCCTACAGGTTTTTTGTTTTTTGGGTTTTTTTTTCTATTTGTGAAAGAATATACTGTAGTCAGTTTCTTCGCTCCCAGGGATCTTACAGCTCTTTACATTGTCTTCTTGTTTATGTAGTCTGTCTACAGCCCTCAGTTCATTGGTTAAAAATAATTGCAGGAGCCACCCCACCCCTGAGACAATTCCAAGTGCATTTGAAAGTACTGCTGTCTCCTTTGGTATAGATTATGGCATTAGGATTTTCTGTGTTGTGTTTATATGAAATACTGTTATTTGTTGAGGTGTGACTAAATCGTAGAACTAAAATCACCTAAGGCTAAATTCAGAGAAACAGCTCTTAACAGCTGCAGTGTTCACGAATCTCCCTATAGGGGGAGCTGGATTAGATGTGTTAGATGGAAATGGGCTTTTCATCAAAACAAAACAGCAGTCCTCAGGCCCATCATTCTTATGAAGAAGAGAATCACAAGAATTTTCTGGAGATAAGAGTGTGTAATACCATTCATTTAAATTTACCTTTAAATTAATTAACATGAGATAAACTTTAGAATTTAGTTCCTCTGTGGCACTAGTACCTTCCAAGTGCCCAAAAGGCATATGTAAACCGTGGCCGTCATATTAACAGCACCGATAAAAAACCTTTCCATTATCACAGAAAATTCTGTTAAACAGCACTGCTTTGGACAACCTCTTATAATCTTTTATGACTTAATATTGATGTTGATGACCTATCTGAACTGAATAGTGACAATATGTGGAGAGGTGTCAAGCTAACGAGCACCCCTCGCTTGCAGAGGAAGAGTCAAATGGCAGTGCAGTCTTAGGTGACTTACAGAGGAGCTGGTGGGTCCATGCCAGGCCAATTAGATGTGCTCAGGGCTCCTTAGGTTGTCCATTTTGAAGCATAGTTGTCTGGCTGTAAAAGAGCAGAGGCAGCGTGCAGAGTAGGACATACGTATAGTAGGAGAGCGACTTCCTTTACCGCTGCCCTTTAGGTGCAGCACTCTGGGTAGAGCCCTGGCAGTTACTACCTCTGTAGATAAGGAGGAGGTTTGAGGTGACACTTGGTCTTATACACAGAAGTAGACAGAATTCAAACTCAGTCAGTTGAGTGTTTGGTACAGCCTTTTGTGTTCCTCGGTCTGTAAGCTCCGGGCAGGACTCGGGAAAAGCCACATGGAAGATTTGACCCCCCTGCTGTGATTCCAGGCTGATTAATCCCAACATTGTCCTTACAAGGTGATACTAAGCCCTTGAGACCTGAGGGCGGTGTGCCTGGCATCACCCTTGATTATTAAATCCTTGCCATCTAAGAAGATTGGGAATATTAGGAGAGGTACTCATTGGTAGTAACCAGAACGTTGGTTGAGTCCAGCACAGCATCAAGAACTATGGGAACACCTGAGTGATACAGGAAAGAATTTGGAAAGGAAACGTGAGGCTTGATCCCGCGCAGCATTTTCTCCTTTTAGGATGGATGAATTAGTAGAAGGCATATTTATAAAGTTTAAAGAAGACCCAAAAGAATTTAAGAGTTCTATGTTGATACTGACCTGCATTTTTTTTTCATATTTGTTTTCAGTAAAATATGAAAGAATCAAATTTCTGGTCATTGCTTTGAAGAGTTCTGTGGAAGTCTATGCGTGGGCACCCAAGCCATATCACAAATTTATGGCCTTTAAGGTAACAATGTCAAGTGCACTTAGAAGTAGCATGAGCCATGCCACTGTGACCAAAACCCCTGAACAGTTGAAATTGACTCTTTAAAAGCTGAGTACTGGTAGAGTGTGTAGCTTTATCATAAGAGAGGCCATCCCCGGTATAATCAGCCTAGCTACCTGCTTCCTAAGCCCTTGCAGTATGAGAGGGAGAGAGCTGAGTGTCCGGCGGACGCCTTGACCAATGCGCCAACATGGGAATGAAGGGAGACAAAATAACACCACCCCCATTTGAAAGGCAGACTGTGACCTTCTACCTAAAGCCATGTATGCGTATAAACATTTAAATATGGTTTTGATAATGAAAAAGTGTCCACCAGTAGGCAGCTTTAAGGTATATCTATTCAATAGAGTATTAATTTAAAATTAAATTACAGAAATTCTTAATGACACAGGAATGTGTATTATATAGTAAATAGGAAAAGTTAAAAATATATGCAATATACCATTTTTGTTTAAAGAAAAGGTCGTAGAAAAATATCAGTTATTTTATGTATTTTTATTTTTTATAATTTTAGAATTTGTGATAGATAAATTTATGAAATTCTTAATTAAAAATGGTATTGTGACATTATATATAAATAACTTAATAACATTATTCCTGATATTAGACACAGAACCGTAAGCATAGCACCCTAAGACTATTTAGTGCAAGGCAAGAAATTGAGAATTTTTCATCTAAAATGATTCTCTTTATTTTTTAAAATAGTTTTGATTTATTAAGGGTAAGCTTCAGTTATTTGGAAAGTTTACACATGTAGATTGCTTATTGCTGATTCCCAGTAAAGCAGGCTAAAGGGGGTTACCATATTTGCTTAGAAAAGTCAATCTACATATATTGACTGAGAAATAACTAGTTATAAAATTATAATGATATTCCGAGGTCTGCTCTTAATACCCTTTATGTTACAGGCACTGTACTAGTCACTTTTAATGTCTTATTTAAATCTAGCTTGTGAACTGTGGGTATTGATATTTATGAAGAACCAGGGCCATCTAGGCCCATACATGTCAGCTTTTTGTCAACCTATCACTCTAGTTGGAAAATGGAAGTAGAAGTCTAAAGTGTCAGATAGAAGTCAGACAGCGACTGTGATGATCACATGATAAAATTCTCAGTATGTGACTCCTACAAGCACCGCCCCCCCCCCACCCCCCCAATCCACTGTCCGCATTTGAGTAGTTGAACAGTATGTGCCGAAGGGCCTGATTACGCCACTTTGGGTGTTTTTCTCACCAAAACGACAGAACAGTAAGTGAGGGAATAGTGTTCTTAGGAAGTATCTCTAGATGCTCCTTAACAGACAAAAGCATAGTAAATTAAAGCCTTATTTTGTAGCGTATTTTGCTTTTGTTTGTTGCCAGGGGGGCTCAGTAATTAAATAGCCAGGCCTCGCTTATCTACTGTGATCTGTTAGAAGTTAAGTTCTGCTTCGTCTCATGGCTTCTCTCTTGGTTACCCGTTTGTAGTCGTTTGGAGAATTGGTACATAAGCCGTTGCTGGTGGATCTCACCGTTGAGGAAGGCCAGAGGTTGAAAGTGATCTATGGGTCCTGTGCTGGGTTCCACGCTGTTGATGTGGATTCAGGATCAGTCTATGACATTTATCTACCAACACATGTAAGAAAGAACCCACACTCTATGGTTGGTTGACTGGCTTCATTTTGTTTTGACTTTTTCTTTACTCTGCTTAGTGAACTAACACAAGCAGGGATCCCTTACTTCCCCTGATATGGGGGTGAGTATTTAAATGATGCCCCGTTCTCAGTAGCTCCATGCTCTGAGACAGCTGGACATAGTCTCTCCTGGCTCTGTGAAGCCCCCGGAAGCTCCCTTGCCCTGGCTTTGACTAACATGGGCTGGGTGGGGGCAGTCGCTGGCAGGTCGGAACGCCCCTGGGTTGGGGGTGGTTTGAGGAACATAATTTCTTAAATAGAGTCCACAATCAAAACATGTCCCAGGGATCTCAAAAAATGTGTGTCAGTAGAGCATATGGCCTGTAAAAGGTCGACTTTGGCATGTAGGTCGCGTGGGTTTTCCAAAACGCCATCCCATCACTGTGTTTATCATCAGAAATATGAACCAGTGCATTCGCCATGACAGTCTTACTGAGCACTTTTGTGAGGACAGAAATAACCACAATCCTGCTCCTTGTACTGTGTCCCTCTTCTCTAGATCCAGTGTAGCATCAAACCCCACGCAATCATCATCCTCCCCAACACAGACGGAATGGAGCTTCTGGTGTGCTACGAAGATGAGGGCGTTTATGTGAACACCTATGGGCGGATCACCAAGGACGTGGTCCTGCAGTGGGGAGAGATGCCCACATCTGTAGGTACGCATCGCGCCGAGCACAAGGCAGTGTTTGTGAAAGAGGGACCTTCTCTAAACCTGTGTGATTTTATCATCCCTGTTTTGCATATTGTTTAGACCTTTTGGCCATTTCACAGAGTGCTTGGCAGTAGATGGTGGAACGTTAGCTCGTAGACATGGGACTGGTCACAGTCTATTTTAGAACAAAATCCAAGTAATTATTTAGTACCCTTAAAAACTCTCGTCATCTCGGTCCTTCATTTAAGACATCCAGGGACAACAGGACAGATGTGGTTGTTGACTGTGGAAAGTAAAGGGAGGCAGGCGAAGGTACATGACTTGCTGCTTGCGAGTGGCAGAGCCGCACTAGCAACACGGGCCCTTGGTCTCCTGCAGGCCACATAGGAAGATCGGTGGGAAGGAAGGTGGAGATGTGAAATTTTTATGACTTTAAGTTTATATTCCCAAACTATTTTGGTTTTATTACACTTAAGCCACTGTCTCTGTCTACTGTCATTTCTTTTTCCTGCTGTCCCTCATGACTGGTTAGATGAAAAGAGAAGCACTAAACTCTGAACCCAGTAGGTCATTGCTCAAGATAAGTACGAAAGGCCTCAGGCCTCAGGGAGCTTAACGGATTCAACCATTGAGTCAAATTACCACTTCCCAGGCTAGACCAAAAGGCTACAAAGGCAGAGTTCCTTAAAAAAAAATCTTTAAATACTAGACAGTTGAGTGTGCGTGCGTGTGTGTGTGTGTGTGTGTGTGTGAGTGTGTGTGTGAGAGAGAGAGAGAGAGAGAGAGAGAGACAGAAAGAGACATGAGCAGCATCTTTCCGTGGCTATTTCCTTGTCTTTAACATTAGGTGTTTTTCCTTTTCTAAAAGCATATATTCGATCCAATCAGACGATGGGCTGGGGAGAAAAGGCCATAGAGATCCGGTCTGTGGAAACTGGTCACCTGGATGGTGTGTTTATGCACAAAAGGGCTCAAAGACTGAAATTCTTATGTGAACGCAATGACAAGGTAACAGTGTCCTTATAGGTTATTTTTAGTTGCTTCTCTCTTTTAGCAGTGGTTTATTTTCCATGGAGTTTAGTGAAGCTTTTTCCTGGGATTTTGATAGATTCTGAAATAATTCAAGGAGCTTTTTAGTAGTAACTTTTTAGATCTGTTTATGGGGTTTGAGGTATATGTATATATATTTTTTTGCTATGAGGGGATAGATTTATCTCTGCAGAAATCATCATATATCGGGGTTTTTTTTTAAAACCCCATTAGGTGACCTGTCTAGACTGTGTTTGGCTTAGGGACAAGGAAGGTTAAAGCTGACAGTCTAGATGGATGGCTTCTTTTATGATTAGAAGCAACCAGTCACGCAAATTCAGGTAGAAGGATCCTCTCCCTTGACCTATATCAGAAAGACACACTTGTTTGTCTGCCTTTTGAGTAGTGAGGTAACTTCCCAGTTCGCCCGTCAAATGTCTAATGGTATAAATCATTTTATGCAGAATCACCAGTGTCTCTTGCAGCCAAGACCCTAGAGTATTCAAGCCCCAGGATAAAAACCGTTGTTTTTCTGAACTGACCACATCCTTGTGGTCTTCTTGTCCTACTCACTCCCAGGGAGTCCCTCCCAAAACTGGCCTTGGAGTGGAGCAGGCAGACAGACAGATGGCCTATCCTGGCCTGCTTTAGGAAGGACGTGGAAAGGAGCTGATCTTTGCCCAACTTTCTTCTCCTGTCCACTTGGACAAAAGCATGTCTAACTGCTTGAGGCAGCCTGCTCCCCTTATATTCCCATTTCTTGCTTCATGTTAAAATACAGGAAACATCCAGCAACCAGGCTTCAGGTTGACTTCTCAGATTAAATTTAAAATTTGACATGACAGCAAAGAGCTGTAGATCTCTCCTTGGCAGCTGGTCCTCCTGCCTGCCCACCGCCATGCTCAGCACAAAAGCCACGTCACCACTGACCCACTTTCCCCTGCAGTCCTAAAGGTCACTTGCTCTAATGGAGTTGACGTTTGTTTCCTACATAATCTCTCCCAAATCTTTTATCTTGAAAATCCATATAACCTCAGACCTAATCCAGGATTTTACCAGCTTTTTGACGTATATTCTCTTAAGTATATTTAATGTAGCCATAGCTGTAATATTCTTCAAGCTTTAGGTATTTAAGTAATTTTATCATTCATGATGTCATATCTCTTAAGGTTTACTAATAAAAGGTACAAAATTAAATTACTCTAGAGAATCATGTGAAATAAGTAATACATTTTAGCCTTATTTTTTAAAAGAGAAAACATTAGGTTGCTGAGGAGCCTTCCCCATTGCGTATGGAATTTTATAAACACACTTTTGTTTAGAAGGCGTCCACAGTGCAGGTAACAGAAGTAGCCCAGTTTTAGAACCATCATTTCTTTTTTTCTTTTGAGTTCTTATAATATGGCAGTGTACAAGGAGTTAGTTGTTACAAACATTGGCTACAGATGATCATTCCTCGTAAATGAGATTTTCTTTTGAAAAGAGCCTCAGCTTACCAAATGCCAATGCGGAGGTGTGGCGTGCACTCCTGGCCCTGGGGGACCTGCCTGAGAACCTCAGGGCGCATTGTCCCGCCCACGGCACACCTTCCTTTTCTCTTGCCTTCGCAGGTGTTCTTTGCCTCTGTTCGGTCTGGTGGTAGCAGTCAGGTTTACTTCATGACATTGGGCAGGACTTCCCTTCTGAGCTGGTAGAAGACGGCGGTGAAGATCTCCGGCCCCCAGAGCCTTCGAGGTCCTGAGAACTCGGAATTCCTTGCAACTGGAGCTCGGCGCTGCAGCAGGGCCACCCAGGACAGCTGTGCGCACAGACCCGCGTGTGGGCTTCTTTCCTCCCCTCCTTCCCGCTCCTCTCTTACCAGTTTACCCCCATTCTTTTCTTTTCCTTACTCACAAATAAATCAAGGCTGCAATGCAGCTGGTGCTGTTCAGATTCTACCATCAGGTGCTATGTTTGGGATCGAGCATCAGACCAGAAAGCAAACGCCTTTCCTCAGCTCCAGAATTCCCTGTCTCTGAGTGACTCTGTCGTGTGGGTGTCTGAAGGTGCAGACTGTGACCATGCCGTCGGTTTGTCGGAAGTGGGCACGAGGAGGTGTAATGTGGTCTTGACGAGTGGTTTGCTGAAGCGAAGAGCAGATTTAATATAGTAACATTAACAATGTATTTAATTGACATTTCTTTTTTGTAATGTGACAATATGTGGACAAAGAAGAAGGTGCAGGTTTAAGAAGTTAATATTTATAAAATGTGAAAGACACAGTTCCTAGGATAACTTTTTTTGTGGGTAGGGCTTGGGAGGCGGGTGGGTTGGTTCAGGGGGTCCCGTTTTGTTTCTTTGGATTTTGTTTCTTTAGCTCGGCCAAGAACTCAGTCATTTTTCTGTGTACCAGGTTTTGCCTAAATCACGTGCAGATGGTTCTTCAAGGAAAAAAAAAAAGAAAATGCGTGCATTTGTGTAACGGCCAGAACTTTGTTGTGTGACAGTATTAGCGCTGCCTCAGTTAAAGGTTTAATTTTTGTTTAAACCTAGAAGTGCGACAACAGTTTTACCACAGTCTGCACTTGCAGAGGAAAAAAAATTTTTTTTCAACCACATTTATTTTTTTTGCCTACCTCATTGTTTTTAATGCATTCAGAGGTGGTTTAGTTTATGTTTGGGGAGGAAAACATTAATGTTTAATCTTAATACCAAAACTATCAGATTAAAGATTGACTGTTTTTTTTGGTCACAGGTCTCAGTAGACACAAGAGAAATTGTCCCCGAAGATGGGGAATAGCCACATGGCTGTATCATGCTGACCGATGCAGTCTGCTTTCTCAGTGTAGAGAGCAGGGTGTTTCATTTTCACCACATTCACTGTTAGTGGTTGGTGGGTGACTGTAACCTCCGACCCAAGGGGCCACACTCAGTTCGGGGTTTGGTAGCAGACAGGCGATCACATTAGAGTAGCCACACAAAGTGTTCAGTGTTGCAGGAACCCTGCAGGGGTGGGGGTCGGGGTAGTTCCCTTTTCTAAAAATGCAATGCACTAAAAGTATTTTAAGAATGTGTAAGCTGGCATCTCCCCGTGTTCAGGTGTAGCTCAAAGCCCTGGCTTTGCCTGTTCTCTTGTTCTCTCTGTTTTTAAACCAGTTTTACTTTATGAATATGTTCACGACATTTGTAATAAATGTCTTGGGTAATAATTTGTTTCATGGCTCCATGGTCACTCAGCTCCTCTGAGGTTATCCATCTCTTCGTGGTAAAGGAACAACGCTCAGTGGCACGGTTCTGCCATCCTGCTCTCATCTTGTGGGGTTCCAAGGGGGGCAGTGTTCTGATGGCCACTTTAAATTTGTTCACCAACAGAAGCTTGGCGTTCCATAGGCTTAATTCTCCTTGTGGTTAATCTTCTTTGATAACATGAAAAGGGGCGGGGGAGGGATCTTGCCTCCCCAAAATAAAACAATCATTTTCATCTATTTGCCAAGGCTTTGCCCAGCATTCTCATCTCATTTGACATCCATTTTGACTGCTTATTCTCTTCCTCCGGGCTCAGCATTTTTGCCAAAGGCTCTCCTTTATTACAAAAACCTAGTGAAAACCATATGCACTCAACAAATGCAGGAACAGCAGCTGGCTGTACACACCCACGGAGGCAAGATGCGCTGAGAAAGCCTTTCTTTGGGGAGGACGATGAGAGGGGAGTGGTCTGTTCATCGGCGTGACTCTGGAGTTGTGCTGATGTCCAAAGTGGAAAGAACTAGCTCTGTTCAACAAATCCGTTGTTACCGTGGCAAAGATCGAACAGGTAATCCCACCTTGGAAAGGACTTTTGAGATAAGCCAGATTCCTTCACCACAGGACTTCAGTCAGAATCAAATTACTGCTGGCAATTTCCCACGTACATTTTGGCTTTTCAAGTGAAATGTGCCAACAGTGAACACGTGTACATGCCAAGAGGAGAGAAAACTGGATGGCTGGGTCTGTTCTAGTCCTTCCCGTGGCTTTAGAGAGGTGGAAGTTGGGGAGGTGTCTTTGAAAGAATACTAACCTTCTGATTCCGATATGGAAGAAATAAGAAGGGATGAGGTATTACAGTCTTGGTTATCCGTAGACTTGAAGCGCAATGTGTATAACTCAAGGGGCGTCACACAGATGAACACAGATGGTGTTTCATTGGAATTACTGAGTGGTTAGAACTTGACAAAAACTAGATTCCACTTCAGATGTGCTGGGGTCTGAGCTCAAGTTGGAATTGTGCCTGTCCTGCTCACACAGCCCCAGGCACACCCACCTGGCCCTCCCTTGGTGTTTTGAGTTGAAGGGGATTGAGTTCATCAGAGGGCCTAACCTACTGGCCTCAGACAGCAGCCTGTTCTTGAGGGGTGGGCTCCTCGTGTGTGCCTTCCTTGGCTGCGGTGTCCTTCCCTTGGCTTCGCCGCCTTGTCAGCCAGATTGTGTTGCTACGGCTTCAAGCAGGTGCCCAATTAGGTCTCTCCGTAAAAGATGGTAAGCTGTTGAAATCTCATTCTTCCAGAGAAGGGATGATTTTCCTTTAACAGGGTAGTGATTTCACAGAAGTGCCAAGATGGCAAAATTACAAAAGAAAACAGTGTTACGACGACACCATTAAATATGGAACACTGAAAACTATCATAGCAGTGCTCTTCAAAATAAAACATAAATATGTCTCTGGGTTTAGTCAAGGCTTTAATAAGTAATGCCTTTCTGTATTTAAATCAGAGTAACTTTTGAGTGCAGTGTTTTTACTTTTTTCTCATGCACGTGATATGTTGGAGAAAATGTTTACAAACATGGTTTTGTTACACTAATGTGCATCACATATTTATGGTTTACTTTTAAGTGACTTTTTAATGGGTTATTTAGGTTTTCGTCTTAGTTGTAGTCCACTTACCATGATTCTTAATCCCTAATTTGCCAATTATAAATTTGCTGAACAGCAATACAAATGACAAACTGCATTAAATTTACTAATCACAGAGTTGCAAAGCAGACTGGTGGCAAGTACGTGGCCTTTTTTTTCCCAGTGCTAACTTGTCTTCTGTGTATTATGAAAATTACTGTTGTTCCTACCCTGCCCCCCCCTTCTTTTTTCCTTAAATAAAGTAAAAATGACACCTATTTTCTGTGGCATGAGTTTCAAATATCCTGATCCTTAAGAATGTTTTCTTCTAATAAAGATCCATATTTTATGCACACCCCCTTCCCCAGGGCCAGTCCTGGCTCCAGTGGCTCCCATATCCTGCCATCTCCCTTGACAGTGATTGCCCAAGGGGTCACCAGGCACGGGTATGAAAGTGGCGAACAGTTGTTAAAAGATCTCAATGAAATTGGAGGTGAGCTTCCATCACCATGTTCCTGCAGCCAAAAAGGAGAAAAGCTGAAGATAAAAATACGATTTTATTTTTGCAAGTCTGAGGTGGGTCAAAAGTAATAGCATCATGTCTGTACCTAATAGGATAGTGAAAGTACCCCTTTCTCAAAATGGCGTATAAATACTAACATAGGTCTAATTGGAGCTCCTTCAGTGTCGGGTCTGTGTGGCCGAGCTTCTGGGGTGTGCCCCATTGATGCCCCGTAGGTCTTCTACGAGGGATGGCCGTGGACAGGTCAGGCCGCATCGTCAGAGTCAGCCCCTTGCCCAGCCTCCGGGGTTGCAGAGAGGTGGCCACGCTTTGTTTTCATCAATTGTGTTGATCAACTAGCTCCTTTGTGTTTCATACTAGAAACTTGTCATTTCTCTTAAGGTGAAAATAAAACGGTAAATACCTACATCACCAAATGAGTGCAGTTTTTCTTTTTCTGCTGGATGTGTGTTGCAGCTTGTGAGTGGATGCGAGCAAAGACCTGGCGGAGCGCTCATTGTCCAGGGCCGCCGGCCAGTGCCCCTGTTCCAGCGCCTTCACTGGTCGAGAGTTCACTTCCGCAGAGCCCCCGAGCCAGCCCTGTGACTGTTGCCAGCTCTGCTTTGGCGTCACATTCAAGAGTGCAGTGAAATTGCTTTCTCTGCATGTACAACTTATAAAAATAAAAACATTGCCCATGCTTTGCTGTAGAAGTAGAAGCTATATTTTATGAAGTAAAACAGTTAAACATTGGAATTAAATGTTAGGAAAAGTAATTACTATATTTTTTTATGGAGAAGTAACGTGTGTTCAAATACGAGGTTCTCATACCTGGTCTACCTCTACCTTTATCTTTAGGTGAATCATGTTATATCCATGTTTCAAAATACGAAGCTGCCACTCTGCCTCACCTGACTTCCCTGTGCTTCCAGCCCCATTCCCTCATGTCTGCACATGGTATTGCTTTGTTCACTATTTGCTTCTGTCTGAATACAGAGCCTGTGCTGAAATCAGTTCTCAGATTTATCCATGTAGTAAATCTTAACTGTTCTTAGGAACCACCTGACGTAGCTGGCAGCGAGCAGGCGCACTCGGAAGTTCCTGGCGGTTTGCTGAAGTAGCATGAAACTCAAAGCCTGATGTTAATCCAAGGGAAAGCCAGCCCTCCGTGGGCAGTGTGGGGCGTGCACTGGTGCAGCCAGGCCCCCAGGGGGCAGGGATGTGGAGCTCGGCTCAAGAGCACTGTTCCCCACAGGCCCTGGTCCTCAGCAGCCCTTGTGGCTGCAGCCCAGCTTGCTGTCAGTCATAGTGCAGGACCCCTAATCCCTATGTAATGTCTCCTAGTTTGCTGGGTTGTAGGACGTTTGAACTTGATGGTCCAGCTCGAAATGATAGAAAATTCTTATTTTTACTTTGTTTTACGCCATCGAATTCTGGCAGCATGTCCTCCGTAAGTTCTGAGGTGGGATGTGGATAGAGCGGAAGCAAGGCAATTGTGTCCCTTAGATGTTTTGGAAGTTGGACCTAATTACAAACATTAGGAACCAATATTAAAACAACTTTGTCATGATAAATGGTACCAAATACTTCCTCAATTCTTTTTTTTTTTTAAACAAGTTTATTGAGATAATCCATATACCATAAAGTAACCCATTTATAGACACAGTTTAGTGCCTTTTAGTTTATTCAGGGCTGTGTAAACATTGCTACCACATTTGTAAACATTTTCATTACCCCAAGAAGACACCTCCCGCCTCTTCGTCATTATCTCTTCATCCTTCCACTTCTCCATCCTGCTAAGCTTTGGGCAACCACTCATCTGCTTTCTCTGCATATGGATTTGCCACTTTGGATGTTGCGTATTAATAGAATCATACAACGTGTATCCTTTGTGACTGGCTGTGGTGATTTACATAGATGTATCAATGCTTTGAGATTCATCCATGCTGTAGTGGGGATCAATAGTTTCTTTTTATTGGCTTCCTTGGTTCTTAACCATTGTCACTAGTGCCTTCCTTCAGCTTTAGGACTAACCCCTGACCTCAGTGACAGCCAACTAGGTCCCAGCCTCAAATGAAAGCTGCCCAGTTAACCTTTCACTGTGATCTAAGCACTCTGGGAAATGGAGCCCTGCTGAGATGTGTTTTTTAGTTTGAGCTCTTAGAAACCCAGGAACCCCTCCTCCCATGAGATACTGATGTTGAACCTCAGGCTCATCACAGGTCATATGCAGGGTGATCAAGTTTTGGAATGGGGACTGTTCTGGAAGCACACTGGCTGTGTCTGCAGACACAGATCCTGCTCGCCCACAGGGAGCAGGCCTCCAGCCCTTGGGAGTTGGTGGGCATTCTCACTGATGTCCAAGGCCGGCATCAGGGTACTCAGCTCGCTGCTCTAATTTAAGTGTGCTCAACCCTAGGAAGGGGCATAAAAGCTGGTTCTGCTGAGCCAGACCAGGCAAATAAATACATAGAACCATTAGGTTTTGAAAGCACCTTGTCCTGTTAGCACCTCTGTGTATCTTACTGGCACTGTGGATATTTCTTCAGTGCTGCCTCCTGGAAGGCCACCTAATTGTACCTCAACCTTCTCTTGTAGGATACATCATTGAGTAAGTGTAGACGCTAGTAAACTTCTGGGAACTCGGTGACATTTTGGTCAATCTCACGAGTTGAGCAACCACTGTGTGCTGAGCAGTCTTAAGGTACGGTGCTCCTTTGCGGAAATGCAGGGGGGTCATCTAAAGGGACAACTTTGAAAATGGTTGTGAAAGCAGAGCCTTTAGTAATGGTGCCTAGAAAGAGATTGACACTTTTTAGCTAAAACAGCCGTGTGGCTGCCAAAACAGCTGGTGCGAGTTTGGACGGTGGATAAAACAGAAGAGAGAGAGGTGACACCCCCACCTGGTTAGGTCACGCTTGGCTGGATACATTTGCAGGGTCCAGACCAATGGCCCCCTCGGCACAGGCTAGGGACCTGGCCAGAGAGGGCTCCAAACTAGTTCCCATAAGATTGGTTTAAAGAAAAGGCAATAAAAACAATTCAAATTGTGTAAAGTTCTAGAGAACATTCAACTAATCCATCCTAAATTGGGGTTATTAACAGTCATGGAGTCGCAAATACTTGGTGTGGTGTGCATGCTGACATCAGCCCTGTCTAAGGGCTTTTATACATACCCTCTCAGCCTGTAGGAACAAACTTGGGGTGCCCTTGTTAGCTAAATGTGTCTGGAGGGAGAGCAAATGCAGGAGGTATTATCCTGCAAGGTGCTGAGTGCTAGATACAGGGAAAGTGGGTTGAATCCACAGAGACAGAGTCTGCCTCCAGCATGAAGGGTACAGTCCTAATTGTCCTGGAGGAGGAAACGGGTGACCTGGCTGGCTGGCCAGCACCAAGCCCTTGAGGTTACCTTTGCTGGGATGTGGAGAAGGTCTCTTGAGGTGTGATGGGACTAGGTCTATACATGGCTGGTAAACAGTCCAAGCGTCGTTTGAGGACATTTTTGAACCCATGTACAAAATGGCGCTGGAATTCCTTGTTAGCACAGATGGATTTTTGAGCAAATAGGTATTTAGGCAATAATCTGAATGAAGGGTTCCTCTGCAGCAGCAATGGGACAGGCAATGGCACAGAGGGGGAGCTTTCTCCAGGACACATTTGGTTCCTTTTTGCCAGTAGTGTGACTGGCTCCTTGGTGAACCCGGCAGCTAGGAATCCTGCTGACTCTCCCACCACAGGAAATGGACAGGCCCTACTGGGCCTGAGACCAGGCGAAGTGGTTCCGTTTGGTCCTGGAGAGCTTTCCCCATTTAGTCAGTCAGCCCTCCGGGTTGCAAAGGAGAAATGATTGCACGTCCCCTGATCCTATCCTGTCTCAGATTTCCAACCTCATTTAAACAGTGGAATGTCAATCCATAAAGCAGACAAAAGAGGTATTGGTGTGGATTTTAAGTTCAAATTTGTAACAATGAGAACCAATACTGCTTTACCATTGGGGCTTGTGGATAACAGCTGTTGGTGTCTGTATCAAATTTATTTTTCTTTTTTAGTTCCCTCATGTGGAGATAATTCTGATGCCAACAGGTATATGATTGCAATTTTTCAACAGTTAACCTTGCAAAAAAGAACCTAAAAAGTGTATGAAGTCAACAATTTGGGGACACTTTTTAATGACTCATCAGTAGCAGGAGAAACTTTTAAGATGAGCACAAAATTAAGTTAACCTGTTAATATGTTATCATTTTGTTGTCTCAGTATTAAATGTAGATTTGACTGTGCAACATTAAAATTTTTAAACATTTTATTTAAGTCAGTATATTCCAAAATATAATTTCAACATGTAATCAGTACTTTAATAGGATGGTTTACATTTTTTTTCCTTCTAAGACTGTGAAATCTGGTGTGTATTTCACACAGTACATCTGCATTCTGATGAGCCACGTTTTAAGTTCTCGATAGCCACACATGGCTTGTGGCTATCACTTTGGACAGTGCAGTGCTACAGGCTTCATATACCTTATCACAGTGCATCTCCTCTGGAATCTTCTGCAGTAAATATTGCTGCTACATTTTACTGAAGATACTGAAGCTTCTAAAATTTTAGTAACCTGGATGTGGTTCCATAGTGTAGCAATTAGCACATCTGCTTTGTACATGCAGAAGGTTCTGGGTTCATGCCCCAGTGGAGCCACAGTCCATGATCTACAGCCATGCCACCCTGAACAAGCCCGATGTCTGATCTCAGAAGCTAAGCAGGATCGATCCTGGTTAGTACTT